AAAGAATAAACTGTTTCACCCTTAGGTTAAACACGTGAATAACAATATTCGGAAATGTAAAATATAATCACACTAAGCAGCTAACGAAGAATTGAAAGTTAATATCGAAGGGACAAACTGTCTGGTGATTAGATGATATATTGATCCACTGAACAGTAAAATCTGAGTACTCATGGTTCACGTCCCGTTACTGCAAAAATTCGCCTCGCTTTTTGGAGTTATGGGTGCGTTATAAGAGTGGATAAAAATGGAACAAAATGATAGAGGTTATGATGAGAACAGCATACTCTGTATTAGGAATAAAAGTTATTGTTGAAGATAACATTGAGGAACTGTAAATGGCCTGATATTTGACACAAATTATCTAAATCTATAGTTTCGTTCGGACAATTAGCTTTAACTTTCAATATTTTTTAACTGAAACAATTTATTTTAATACTGCCCTTATAATTCGAAAATGTACATATTTTTCTGATTCAGTCTAGAAGTTTCAAATACATAAACTCTAGAATTTAGAAAAACAATATTTTAATATTCCCTTAACATTACCAACTCCTTAACTAATTTGTCTTATTTAAAATTCCTCTTTAACACTTATCAGCAAACCTGGGGTCCACATGGACCCAACGGCTTTCTCGGTTGTAAATCTTTTAATTAATCATTGCAAATTTACATCAATTCATGTAATTTTCAAACAGAAATCCTGAATCAATACGAAACTATTGTTTTCGAAACAGGAAGATGGAGTATGTATCTATAATATAATATTTATCTGGGGTCCACGCGGACCTCATAATATCATTGACCATCACTATACATGCACTTCGCCCTGTAGCATACGAAACACATTTCTAAACTTTTATTTCGCTATACAGGCTGTTATATAGGATAATTCATCAAAGTAGTACAGTATCATCTGATCTGTTTGATCATAACATCATTGTGGTAATTATGTCTACACATCTCATTCCTCAACAAGTGATTCTCTGTGATGACTGCTTATAATGCCCTATTTTATAGAAAACTTGTTTGATAATTGTTGTAAATAACCTGCTCATTGGATTTTCATTCCATACCATACTATAAGGATACATTTGTGTTGTGGTCTAGTCGGATCCAAAGTGACCCACAACTTACACTTTCAGTTTTTTTTTCAATTGAATTTTCCAGTATTTGGGAATCACATCATATATTGGTGGATAATGACTTGAATATAGGAGTATAATAAAACTTCGGCATGTTTTATACACTGTTAGTATAATAAATGGTTTAATACTACTTACTTGTATACTGATGAACAATGTAATTTTCTAATTTCTTGATTTATCAACATATTCCCTCTATAATACATATATTTTTATGTTGCTCACATTGCATGCCAACCCTGATAAAAGTTGTAATGCAATTAGTTTTTGGAATTTCAATCCAGAGCTTACTATAATGGTAATTTTGTGCTGGGGTCCGGGTGGACCCCAGGTGTTCCACGACGTAACTTTTCAAAAGTGTGCTGATGAAGGTTAACTAGTTTATCTTTTTTAAATTCCTTTAGCTTTAGAAATTTCTTAGCTAGTTTGTCATTTTTAACATTTCCTTGGCGTTACAAACTACTTAACTCGCTTATATTTTTAATATTCATTTAAATTTACAGATTCCTTAACAGGTTAGTCTTTTTTTATTTTCCTTTAGCTTTACAAATACTTTAATTAGTTTGTCTTTTTTTTTACACTTTCTTAACATTACAATAGAATTCCACTAAAGTCCTAGCCAAATACAACTGGATTAATTTGAACTTATTTCAATTAATCCCTTATCAGAGCGTAGGAAATTTCTGTTTTTTAGTTGGGTGACCTCATGGTTGGTATGTTGAGTGTGGATCAAAAGGCCTAAGGTTCGAGCCTAAGTATTTCGCTGATCCTGTTCCGATTCGATTAGTGGTAGTTATTTAGGTTAATATATCTTTCAGGAGCGATCAGAAACTGCTGTTTCTCTTCACCTCACTTCATGAATGAAGGTTACATGTCACATGAATATCAAGGATTTTGGACTAACCGAGGTGGAGTTTTTAATTAAAAACAAATATTTTTGATGCAAGACTAACTTGGCGGAGCGTCTCAAGACATCGGGAGAAGCTCTGTTTGTGGAGATCTGGAAATAAGACGGAGGAAGGAGAGTTTTAACAGAGATTGCTGGAGGTGGATTCATCTCGAGCTTGCATTTATTGGCAGATCTCAGTCTGAAAAATTATTGGTTATGGAGTCACCGCAAGGCTTGTGTTTACCGACAGGCCTCAACTTAGCAGATTACTAGATATAGTCACCTCAAAGCCCGTGTTTATCAACAGCTCTAAACTCGACAGATTGCTGGATACAGAGCCGCCTCAAGGTTCGTGTTTACTGGACTGCTACAAGCGGGTTGAAGGATACAATCTGACAAAAGTCACTGGCTTTCCTCTGGACATGAAGTGTTTGATTGTTTGTTTATTTTTGAATTTCACGCAAAACTACTCGAGGGCTATCTGCGCTACCCGTCCATAATTTAGCAGTGAAAGACCAGAGGGAAAGCTGCTAGTCATTACCACCCACCGCCAACTCTTCGGCTACTCTTTTACCAACGAATAGTGGGATTGACCGTCACATTATAACACCCTCACGGCTGAAAGGGCGAGCATGTTTGGTGTGATAGGGATTCGAACCCGCGACCCTCAGATTGCGAGTCGAGTGCCTTAACCACCTGGCCATGCCGGGTCCGGAAGGAGAGCTTAGAGTTTCTTGTTGATAACTGCTACTTCTTGAAATTGTCGAATACATGAACGAGGATGTGTCAACGAATGACCAAGGCTGTTCCAAGATTACCGACTTACAGGTATAAACGCGAGAAAAAAAAAGAGTTTCGTGACTGATTTAATCACCTTAATTTGTTGTTTAAATAAGTTAAATAAATTGATTTAAACATCATGAATTACTATTTAACAAGATCAGAACTTTTTTGGGGGGCATGGGGATAAACATGCTAATATGTGGTCCTATTCAGGACTGGGATCTATAGATTCAATCCTAGTTAAATCCTGTTTGGCACTTTCAACGTTATAAAGTTGACTATCAATCCATGTATTTGGTTAAGGGTAGCTGTATCACTCCCTTTGTCTCAAAAGATGCCATCCAGGTTGAAAATACGAAATTTCTCTTTATATTTTATCTCATTAGACGGACGTGACTACTTTTTCCTAAGTATGTACAGATAGCGTGTTGTTTCTTATATAAATTGAACAAGAAGGCGAATATTTTCATAAATCTTTTCCCTAATCAAGAGTTAGTTGTCTAACCAAGTCGAGCCGTTTGTTGTGTAACAAACATTTAACTAAACTTATGGTAAGGTAGCTAAAATAAGAAAATAAAGTCTTTCACGTGGCTGAAAATTGAAAAGGCGAAACTAGAAAATATGTTGTTTTTAAGTGAATGTAGAGGTCTATTATGGACAAGGTAAGCACTACGAAGCTGTTGTTGAAATATTAAGTTTTGCATAGTTTGTGAAATATGAAATTAATTGTTAGTTACAATTTATTTTTTGATGTATAGATTACTGCGCATCTCTGTCTTCCGATGGGTTTGCGGTAAGTTTATGGACTTAGTACGCTAAAATCTGGGGTTCGGTTCCCCGCGATGGACAGAACAAAGATAACCCATTGTGTAGCTTTGTGCTAGAAACATACATACAAACAAACAAATTTATCTTTCTATTATGATGAACGTTGGTCGTTCTTAATTAAAGAAGAAAATTATTGTCTTATTGAAAGTACTTGTGAAGGCTAATTTCGCTAAAATGTATCTTTCTGTTTAGATTAGTTTTGTCGATTTTAAGGTCCAGAGTTGATTTTATATGTTAAAGAAAGAACATAGACTACACGAGGACAAAATATTCAACACAGTAGCAGGAAAGACACAGGTCTTCCAAGCTTTCTCGTGCTTGTGTGTGAAAAGTTATGACGTTGTAAACACACTGCTGAAATGTCCCTGATTTTAAAGTTAATACCACTTTAGATAAATTTAATAATGAATGTGATCAAGTCAATGCTAAGTAAAAAAACTGGAAGACACTTACAGCGTCATGAGAAGTAGAAGCACTGAATTAATTCAAGCAACAACCAGTCTCTCACAAAACCTTATATATATATATAAGAAGTATTAAGAAGAATCTCTTACTTTAGGAAAAACTCATAATTCAACTTAACTCAAGTATAGTCGACTGAGACCTTTAATGGAATTATTTCACTCTAAAACAACTCCTTAGCTAGTTTGATTCCAGATGGTCCAGCAAAGTTATAAAGGCCAAATATAAAAGGTAGCTAGTCAATATCACCACTGCTATTGGGCTGTTATAATTGGAACGTGATATTTAATTGCTCTTATAACGAAGTGCGAAAAGCAATTTTATGGCAACGGGACGCAAACTCTGGACCTCCAGATATCGAGTTTGGCATGATCATCAATAGACCCCGCACTGCTCAATTCCTAGGCGAGAAAATAATTAAACTAAGCTCAAACTAGTGTGTGTTTTAATTGTCTTCGAATGTAATAAAATTCAAATTAAGTCTGTTATAATTGTCTGGAATGTCAGTGGAACTACATTTTTCCACGATCAAAGCTCCTAGGTAAAGAATTAATTAAATTTAGCTTGAATTTATTATATTCTAGTTGGTTTGAATCTTAATATACGTATATTGCTTTAGGAAATTTCTTTCGTAATGAAAGAATTAAGTCTAAATTAAATCTGATATAATCGTCTGGGATTGTTACTGGCATTCTTTGCTCTAGGACAAAACCAATAATAAAAGTTAATGCATAATTTGCTGTAATAAAAGATCGTAAGTGTTCAGGTAGGAGTGTTTGGAAATATACACATACACAAAGGCGTTTCACAGATTAACACACAAGTAAATAACATAAGAATGCTCTACAAATATAAACAGATAAATAACTAATAAAGTACAGTGTTTCACTTACAAGTCGGCCAGCGTTGTTATTGTGTAGGTTCATCATATCTCGAACATCTCGCTTTCTGCTACTTTTACGAGATTCCTTCTCTGGAGCGTCCACAAAATGCCTGGCAAACATGGTTGCAAATTGAACGTTGTCAGAGCAGCCACCCCACTTCCAGCCCTCGGGTGTGGACAAACCTTCTTGAGAGCGGTCACAGGAACACATTGTTAGGTTTCCCGCACTACAAGCTTCGGTCAGACCATGGACAACACCTGCGCTCAGGATGCCATGGATAAAAGCTGTTTCTCTACTGCCTGTAGACAAAACAATACATATATAACAGTTAAGAAAACTATATGCACATCTCGAGTTGCTATGTTTTCCAAAGTCGATAACTAGTTACAAAACGAAACAATCATAAAACTTGAAATGCGTGTTTTAATTATACTAGCTCCTCAGTGGCAAGTTTGTTTTTGTTTTAGAGCAAAGGCGCATAGGGCTAGTTACCGTGGGAAATCGAACCCCAGAATTTAGCATTGTAAGTTCGTAAACTTATCGCTGTACTACCAGGGAACTCAGCAGTAGATCTGTAGACATATAACTAAAAACTGGGTTTCGAAACCGTGGTGAGCACAGCACAGCTGGCCCATTGTGTAGTTTTGCGCTTAACGACAAACTAATTTTGAAGCCCGTGGCGGGCACAGCAGAGATAGCCCTTTTTGCAACTTTGTGCTTAACGACAAACAAACAATTATTATTTTGTTACTGGGCCTATGGCAATTACGAGAGTGCCGTAATGTTCTGTGAATCTAGAAGTTGTGTAAAGGTAGAAACCGAGACAATGTTTTATCAAATTTTTTGATGCGAATTTCATACAATTGGACATATCAACGCCGCGTAGAAGCTGCAAGAAATTAACATTCTCTTTCCTAACTATTCGTTATTTTGCCGCGTTGTTAAGTGTGAGCTGTCACAAAAGCTTGCGTTACGGGTAGGGAAGACAGTAAAAAATGCCTTTTCCAAATTTGCTAGAGGAGTGGTTGCTCTACATTGGCTTGACAAATCGCTGGAAAGGCACAGTTTAGATGGCTCAAAGAATTCGTCACACTTCACGTGCGACATTTTCTCGGATTCGATTATTTTTATAACCCTCGGCAACTCCTCTCGGATTTCTCAGCCGTCTGTATCTGTCACGGTCGGATTTTTGGTTCTTCGACCACCGGGAGAGTGATTTCTTCACGTAGTTACAACCTGGGACTATTACCATAAACCAACCAGGGACTTCAGAATTGCAAACAACCGGGTTTCTAGTAATAAAGACAGGTAAACAGCTTAGTATTGTTAAAAGTCTGAGGCTTTTCTTTACCCTCTATACATCTTTTGGAAGAACAACCAGAACACTGTACAAGAGGGGCTGGTAGCTGTTATGTCTACTATTGAGCAGTTCGCTGGGTTTTCACACACACATACATCAGAGGTTAGTAAGAAACACGTGTAAATAGTGGCAAACTCTCTTTCTTGGATGTCGTCTTTTACAAAGTCTCTATTGTTGATGTTTGACACGTAACTGCGAAACGAGAATATCTGAATACACAATCAGAGTTGAGCTACAAGGTTTCTCAAAGAAGAAAACATGTTGGAAGAAGGATGGAAGCTTGTGCGTGAAAGGCTAAAATGTGCAAAGAAATTGACGGAAACGAATTTTGTGAATGAAGACATCTTAATGCAAACTCTAAGGTCAAAGATGGCGCTTCATGCTGTTTCCAAGTGTAGTAGGGGGGTTTTAAACAAGGCTTTATTACACTTGTCTATCTCTCTATCTATTGAGACATCTCTCTCTTGTAATATGTCATTAAGTGCATTCATTAAAATGTTTAATATATAAATATTTTAGATATATTTAATTATATATATATATATATATACTATTATCAGGATTATTTTACAATGTCAGCTTATTATATGGACTTAGGGCTGACTTTAATCTCATGTGGCTCAACCTCGTGAGAAATTATTGTGATTACGGCTGAAAATATTAATAACAGCGAGTGTGCTCAACTTATGAATTAATGCACTAAACCTTTATAAAGGTTTTAGACAGTTAATATTAGATTAGCTGCATTCTTTACTGGGTTAATTTTTTTGGTTCTGATCTATGTGGATATAGCTTGCTTTGATCAAAAGTTACTGATAACGTATTTCCTATGGTGATGAAGTCGTCTTATATAACACCATATAACATCTTATATAACACTGCTTAGAGCAAAGTGTAAACGGTAATGGAGCAAATCTCCAAATGGAACTTCAACTGCTACGCACCAACACTATTTTTAACAGTTAGAAAATATAATTTGTATTGGAAGATTTTATTACTAAATCACAATGTTAGTTGTTTGACATGTTGGATTGTGACTAAAAGCTGATTATCAACCTTCTTATGAAACGGAGCATGGCACAAGCGTGCCCAGATTAGGAATCTGAGAATTCGTGGTTCGCGTTTCATTGCCGCACAAATTTGATCCGCATTCTGAGGCCATGGGTACGTTATAAAAGTGACAGTCAAATTCCACTATCCGGTTAAATAAGAACAGCTCAAGAGTTAGCGGTAGGTGCTACTGACGAACTGCTTTCCGTCTAGTTTATTGGTTCAAAATTAAGAATGGCTATGCGCAGTTTAACCCTTGTGTAGTTTTGTGCAACGATACTCAAAAACATCCAGATAAGTTTGGTCTGATTCAAGGCTGATTATGTGAATCACATTTGTTTCTCTGCTTTGATTATGATCATCAATGTTTTCTAGAAAAATAAATAAATAAAACTTAGTACAGAAGAAATCTGTCGTGACCAGCGTTTGTTTGCATAATAATAGATTTGCAAGTATAAAATTTAACAAAATGTATAATTATTCAGAGATGTCTAGTAATAGACTAAGATATTGCCAGTGATTATGTCACGCATTCGTACAAATACGTAACGTTTTCGCGCTTATGAGCTTTGAAAATTACTAATGATATATATATATATGAATTTCGACCTTAGTTCCACCGAATTAGGGGTCGGCCGGTAATTTTTTAAGCCAAGGACTTTTACATCTAGGTGTCTAGCCCAGTCAGCAACGAGCATGTTCAGCAACGATTGTTTAAACCTGGTCAATATAAGTTCTGAATAGTCTACTAGTTGTTACTGTTTGAAATCACTCCATAACAATATCTAGTTTTAATTATTTGTGTGTGTGTGTTTTAGGGGCGACTTGGTTGGCTGCGTAAGATGGCATTTATCAACTGAAGGATTTAGACCATTAGATTTCCTTTCCATGTTTTGTTGTTGTTACAGGCAACAAGTTATATTGACCAGGTTTAAGCAATCGTTTCAATATTTCTGTACGTTGTGTTGAAACTGACTTTTAAAATGAAATTTTAGTAAGATGTTTGTAATATACTTTAAAATAAAAACATTTGCCATGACGCAGTACTTTTTAATGGCTGTTTTATAGCATAGAACAGAATTTGTTTGCAAAAAAAGTCGAGTTTGTTTTAATGAAGTTCGGACAATGTTCGGACATACCTTCAGACAGTTCGGTATGTTTAACTGGAGTTCCTAAAGTAGGTCTTTATTTTTCAATATTGTCTATGGTATATGGTGGTGAGATGGGTGTGTTAGTCATACTGCAACGACGAATAATGAAAGATATGTATCGTATCATGAATCTTAAAGGCACGTTAGAAAGTACTAAAATGTTGTGTGACATACTGTTTATCACCCAAAGCATGGTGACTAGACATTCTTTGTTGCCTGCAAGGGTTGAACTCTAACAAACAATTACAACCTTTACAGAAACAAACGTTTCTCGGCAATGGAACGTTATCAGACCAGAAGAACACAACTCGTTGTACCTCTCATCACAAACCCTCAATAACTACTCCCAGGAGGGGCTGAACCTTCAATAACATCTATATAAATACTCGTAAGTGGTCTTTTGTATGTTGTACATTATACATATCCTCTCCTTTATTCATAGTAGAACAATTCCATTCTTTATTTATCGTTGTATACTTCATGTCTTCTTTATATAATAATAAAAATAGTGGAAGTGTTCCTTTACTTGTTGTACATTATACATATCCTCTCCTTTATTCATAGTAGAACAATTCCATTCTTTATTTATCGTTGTATACTTCATGTCTTCTTTATTTGTAAAGGAACACTTTCACTATTTTTATTATTGTTGTACATTATGCATATCCTCTCCTTTGTTCATAGTAGAACAATTCCATTCTTTATTTATCGTTGTATACTTCATGTCTTCTTTATTTGTAAAGGAACACTTTCACTATTTTTATTATTGTTGTACATTATGCATATCCTCTCCTTTGTTCATAGTAGAACAATTCCATTCTTTATTTATCGTTGTATACTTCATGTCTTCTTTATTTGTAAAGGAACACTTTCACTATTTTTATTATTGTTGTACATTATACATATCCTCTCCTTTATTCATAGTAGAACAATTCCATTCTTTATTTATCGTTGTATACTTCATGTCTTCTTTATATGTAAAG